CCCCCCCCACAACCCACCCCTACCCCAAAAAGCATTCTTAAAGGAATACTCGATTGTCAACACTCAACTATCAATACATGGAGTTGCAAATCAGCAAAAAACTAAACATTGCCTAGCAACAGCCAAAATGTAGTGCAAGTAAAAGAAGTTGTGGATTTCAGCAAGTTCACTCGGAGAAACATAAACCAGAACATAGCGAAGCATCCCAAACTAAACAACATACTTCCAAACAAGTATTCACAGACATCATGTATAAGAGTAGAGTTGGATCACTTATTAGGATCCACTATATCATGTCGATTTCGATTCCTCATATGAACAAGTGTTTATAATCACCATTTGCCAGCAAGCAAACACGGTTATAGCTATATGTATCTGCAAATACGGAAAAGAGGCATGTCAGAATTTATTCCTTTGAAATTTCCGAGTTATAGCAAGCAAACATGATTTAGCAATATGAATTCCATGAAGAGGTAAGACTTGTATCAAATTTACTCATTTGCACTTCCAATTTAATCAAATTAAACCATCAGTGACTTGATTTCCATTTTTGACAAAAAGGAAAAGGACAAAGTTATTCCTAAAAGCGTTGTCTAATAGTTCTTCAAGGAGGAGATGAAGAGCTTAGGTACCCAAGCAAAGATCCCTTCGCACACTCGTAAGGATTTAAAGATGACCAAGCTCACGGACAAGTGTATACTCAACAACCAGATATATTAGTAATTTGTTTATAGATCCCTGTGATAGAATTTGGAAGGTACGAGAAGAGGCAGAGGGCGGCCTAAGAAGTATTGGGGCGAAGTGATCAGGCAGAACATGGTGCGGCTTCAGATTTCCGAGGACATGACTCTTGATAGGAACATGTGGAGGTCGAGCATTAGGGTGATAGGCTAGGGGGTAGTCGAGAGTTCTTCCCTCTTGTACCGGGTAGTCTGATAGAGTTTCGTTTAGGTTTGTTAGCGGTCTTTGTTGTATTCACATTGTTGTTTTGCATAGTTTTGTGTTATTGTCCTTTCACTTATTTTTGTAGTTATTTTCTTTGTGGTATCTTTTGTTGTTACATGTCTTTTCTCTTGTTTCTTTTCTGATATTATTGCCTCTCCTGTCGAGCCGAGAGTCTCCTGAAAACAGCCTCTCTGCCCTTTTTGGGGTAGGAGTAAGGTCTGCGTACACTCTACTCTCCCCAGACCCCACTAGTGGGATTTTACTGGGTATATTGTTGTTATGTTTATAGATCCCTGTGGCACAATCCAATAGCGCTTAAATATACAAGGAGAGCTGACAATAATTCCAACCAAGATATGATTTAAAATACTCCTAATAATTCACAGGAACATTTTGGATGTAATCTTAGCTAGGAAAGAAAATCTAGAAGAAAGTAACTTTAAGTGGCATTTCTTTCAGCATATTTTTGCAGGTAAAAAGCTAGAGAACATTTGTAGTTAATGACTTTAAAGCAAGTGCAGAACCAACACAAAGCAAACAAAGAAAGCAATCATAAAGATTCCACCACCTAAAGACATTGTGAGATAAAACAATTATCAAAATTATTAATGGAATGATTTGAAGTGATACCTAGAGTGTCCCCAAAGTTGGACCATATTTCAGCACGGATAGATTGGTTACTGTCAGCGATACCTATGACCTCAACAAATGTCGTAAGAGGACCAGGGGGATTGCCTTTCACAACTATCTGCTGCTCATCTGTAGATCTCCCAATCACTGTACCACCATCAGAGCGCATAACCTGAATCACAGCTCGAACCTTCCTTCCCACATACGAGCGGAGGAGCTCAGCATTGACAAAGACAGCAGGATTTGATGTATCCATACCTCTAAAAGGCACAAGGAAAATTGGAAACGAGTTGAAAGAATAAGGTTAAGTTTTGGCAGATTAAAACTATGTTTTCAACCATTTCTATTCATAATTACACACAGTAGCATGTTCATTCATTCATTCAGCTTAGAAACAACAATTGCATTTGACTGTACTATTCAGTCTAAGCTATCAATACTTCAATTAGTAGAACTATTGCTACGCAACAATGCAAATACCCAAGTTCTTTTTTTGTTGGAGTGGGGCGGGGGTCGTGAAAGCATAGCAAATATAAAAGCACCAGTTCAGATAAGAGAAAAATAGTTGAAGTTTTGCAAACCCAAAGTGTCCTACAAGAAGATTCAACCCAAAAAGTAATACAAAATTCAATAAAGAAAGAACAGTTAAGGAAAGATGAATCAAGATAAAGATAAGTGAAAAAAGCCCAGAATTAAGAGGGAAGATGGGTATATAAGATGAAGAGACAAAAGAAAAGGAAAGCCATATTCAAGATGGATAAAACATGAAGGAGATCAAAACAAAAAGAAGGGCAAATAAAATAAACTAACTAAAACAATAGGAAGGCGGAGGAGAACCAGAACCTTTAACCTTATTTACCTTCTCCCTTTCTGAAGATCTCTTTTCAAGACAGTTTTAGGTCATGAACTTCATGTATTCATTTTGCTTATAAAAAGACAAAAACACAGAAATGTTTTTGAAAATCATTTAAAAAAACAAACCTAATGTTGACAAAAATTATCAACACATCTGATCTTGATTCTCATGCTTCAATATTACTCCGATTCAAGTACTTAGGCTATTAATTATGCAAACAACATAAGTTTTGTCTTATTTTACTGTGCAACTTGTTTTTTTCTTTCATGCTCAGGTAAGCACTTTAACAATACATAGCACATGAGCTGTCCTTTCAGCACTTTGTCCCGTGTTTACTACTGCACTCAAAGCCAAGAAAAATTAAAATTATCTACTTAATTTCCATGATGCTAATGTGAAAGGAAATTATACAAAATTTAAATTTCTAATTTAGTTCTTTCCTAAGACGAGTTCGTGACCTTTATATTTCCTTCATTGTCCATGTTAATCACTTTTTTTCTCCAGGGGCTAGCCTCTGTACTATCACTACCATCTTCTAGAGCACCAGCCAGAAGTTCCCAACTCCATAAGATAACTCATAGACGGTGATAGACCTGACCACCCAACTACCAGGCAAGCAACACCCAAGAGCCCACTCCCCCGCCCCCCTCACGACGAGTCCTTCTTCGGCTTTATGGTAAATATTATTTTAACAAATAAGACAAGATGTCCCTGTCAGATTACAAATTATAACAACCTTTAACCAAGGGCAGATTTAGGGGGGCGGAAGGGGTTCACCCGAACCTCCTTCGCCGAAAAATTACACTGTATATATAAAGCAAAATCTGTTTTTTATCCCTATATACTAAGTTTTGAACCCCCTTAACACAACCCAAAAATATAGTTTAGTAGTCAAGGGGACTCAAAATCTTCATAAGGTCATAGGTTCAATTCCCACTAGCTACAAAAAAAAAAAAATTAACCCCCTTCGTGGAGATCCTGACTCCGCCACTGCCTTTAACAGAACTTGCTCAATTCTTCTTATCTTTCGGTGAGCAATAAAGAGCTAAAGTAAATAAATTTTTCTTTGCTTCTTTTAACAATTTTCAACAGTTTTCCCACTAACTAAAAAGCCAATCGAGCTATAAAACACATTTCATAGTTAATCATCCCAAATCCTAATTTCCTCAAAAGCAGCAAAATAGAAAGGAAAAAACAGATCGAAACTACATTCACTGAACAACACTACTCCGAAATTCAACTCACAGATAGAGGTATATTCAATCGCAGAACTGAAAACTGAAGATTAGTCGACGATATTAGCAACTTAAGATAGTTCGTAGAGGAAAACTCGTATGATGCAAGAAGAAAAAAAGTCGTATGCCGAAATCACAAAAGGAATAGATATAAAGTAGAAACAAGAGCCACTTACCGGTTAGGTTTCGAAGCTGATGAGTTTCCGCCTTGTGAATTGTGATATGAAGAGTCTAGAAGTGTTAAAGTCAGGGGAAAATGAAAATTCTTTGCCTTGAAACCCTAGTAGTTGAAATAATATGCGAGATTTTTCTCGCGGGAAATAGCGCGGCCTTAAATTTTGGTGTTTTTAGTACTCCTGTATCCCTATATATAGGATACTTTTTCTTTTCAAGATTCAAATTTTGGTGTCTTTACCGTAAAGTAAAGACAAGTATATAGAGAAACTGATATATTATTCGAATTCAAACTGATGTACATAATAAACTGAAATCTCTTCTATTTATAGAAGAAAGGAAGCTGCTCTGTAAGCTGCTATTACAAGATGTTGTGTAAGCTGCTACTACAAGCTGCAGTGTAAGCTGCTACAAGCTGTTGTGTAAGCTGCTACTACAAGCTGCTGTGTAAGCTGCTACAAGCTGTTGTGTAAGCTGCTACTACAAGCTGCTGTGTAAGCTGCTACAAGCTGTTGTGTAAGCTGCTACAAGCTGCTGTGTAAGCTGCTACTGTATCAGATATGGATAATCTTCTACCGGGGGTAATGTTTATCCATAACTGGGTACTGAAAAGATAAGCTTATTATACCCGATATGGATAAACTTCTACTGGGGGTAATGTTTATCCATAATCGGGTACCGAAGTGATAAGCTTCTTCAGGAAGCTTATTTCCAATATAGTACTAAATAGATAACATATTTACAGTGGAGTCCCATATGGATAAACTTCTTCAGGAAGCTTATTTACAACGGAGTACTAAATGAACATTCATAATATAATATATTTATAACACTCCCCCTTGGATGTTCATTAAAAGATAATGTGTCTCATTAAAACCTTA